TTCACTTTAGACACAAAAAGTGACTTTCGCTAAAAAAACAGGAGTGAATAAATTCTGTTATTAATGCTAAAATTGGGCACCATAAAATAAATCTGTATTATAATCGCCATTTTACATTAATCTTAATTCAAATATTATTATTTTACGCGGTAAATATTTGCTGCATAGACTGAAAAGCTTGCCTGTAGGAAGAGAGTTCAGCAACTCGGAAAAACCTTGGTTGGATAGACCAGTAGACTTGAGATTGAATGATGAACAACCGCGATGTCGGCGGGTCAATAGCCTCGTTTTGCTCGGGTGCGACCTAAATTCTTCTTCTTTTCTTCCTTCTTCCTTAGCTTCATTACTATAACTATCATGCTTAGCCTCATTCCCTTCGCAAACAGCAAGACCACAATAATTGCAATCATTATTTCTTTTCATTCTAGCAAGCCAACCTGAAGTATGATCGGAGGAATGAATGTTACCTACGCCCATTCGAATAGAACATCGAACACACTCTGTCGGCTTTATGAGCAAACTTCTGTGATATTTTGGCATCGTGCTATCGGCTACATCATGGAAAATACTAGTTCTTTCTGCCAAGTCTTGACTTTTAAACAACTGTACCCGTTTGTCCATAAATTGCTTATTTTTATGGCTTATCATTAGAGCCTCTTCATCTTTCCGCAATTGTTGATTATGGGAAGATAACGATGGTACGTCTGCTTGAGTTTGTGTAGGAATAGGTGTTAGACAGGCCAAGTTTCGCTGAATATCCTCCGCCAGGCTATGCGGTAAGGCAAAGAGTTTAGGCCCAATAAAACTTAGCAAACCAAGAAAGCGAGTGACCTTGGAAAGCTGCATGCAGGATAGATCGGAAGACAGAAGAGAATCGTCATCATAATCCTTAACATGTTTATGTGAAGCGGGTGCCGCCTGGAGGAAGGATTAGGTTAGCAATGAGTGATGAGATGATTAGAAAATAATTTTACGTTTTCAAAGTACCTAAAGCATGTTATGTGATAAATAGATAACAAACCATTTGATTAAGAGTATAAACGCTAAGGACTGCCAGATCAAGGCGCCAATAGGGCTTTCTGAGCCAGATGCAAACAGAATATGATACATTTTTCGTCCATAAGTAGGGTTTCGAGACTACCAGTAAATGCGGTTTATTCACCCTATTTCGCTAAAGGTGGTGAATTTTCCCATAATGATATGAGTAGAACTGACGCTTCTTTTGAATTTCACATAGATTTGCTATCACAAAAGGTGTTCCCATACAGAGTAGACTGCAATATAGACCTCGCCTAGGTCTTATCAACACTCCCAGTGATGGTTAACATGTTGAGATTACATGCTGCGCTTTCATGTTTCGAATCCTGCTGGGTGAGGTCGAAACTGCAGTCCATCTTGTATGAAAACACCTTTTGAAAAAGCAAGGCTATGCGAAATACGATGAAAACGCCAGCTCTACTCATATCATTGCGAGAAAATTCAACTACCAATCTTTCATCACCTTAAACGAAATAAGGTAACTACATCTCATCTAGCATATCAAAAAGTCATTCATAAAAATAGTTGATTTAGGTCTGATAGTTGAGTTCTCCAGCAACTAGAAAAGTAGTCATTACGATGACATTGGACTTCACATACCCTTGACTCCAAAAAGGTTATCTCATCTAAGTTCAATATAAGTTTCGATCTCATTAGAACACCTAAGCGGATTTGGTACCTGATCATGAGTATCATGCAGTTATTAGGCCTCCACTGCATAGACGTGGGTGCCAATGGGTCACAGGGTATAAGCAACATTTAAAGGAAATAAGAGCTTTCCCAAATCATATTTATGTCAGGAACGTCGATTAAGAGAGCAGGCCTCTGCCATAGCATAGAATCATTGACTTGGTACATTCCCAGTTGCTTTGCCGACAGGGTAGTCGGCATCGTCAGTAAAAAGGCACCATCGTTAGCACAAAGTTACAACTTATCAATATGACAAGTGAAGGAGGCAACCTCCTTTACCAATTTCCTGTTCAACAGTGGGATTTAGATATCAGCACTGGGAGCTAAGTCAAAAAATATGGGCGACGAGTGAAGGCACAACAGTTGAACAGAAAATTGATTAAGAGGATTGCCTTTATCGTCAATTTAATAAGGTGTAACTCGGTGCTAACGATAACGCCTCTCACTGACGACACCGACTACGATGCCGGCAAAACTTCTGGGAATGTACCAAGTTGAAAGTCACGAATAATATGGCAGAGGACGCAGGACTAGGTTTGTTCCACAAGGTTTCCATGTCGCTCCGATGAAGTTGCGAAAAAGAGGTCAAGCCAACAGTATTTAAGATAATCGAAGGTAGGAAGACTAAGGGGACGAGGACTTTAGTATTGTCGCAGTGCCATTTTGCTGTATATAAGTTGTTTGATCTTGTTTTCGCAACCGGGTCATATTGGCAGGAAGACCTAGAGGAACGCACATTGTACGGAGTTCAGAGTCGGACCGTTTCGCCATTCGGTCTTGCTACACCTAGCACACCACCATAACTCGTCAAAGAAACAAGTAAAGTCGATCCTCTGACCAATTGTCTGCTAAACAGTTGTGGTAACTCTCTTGTCCTAAAAAATTCGCCTATCCTATATTCTTGTAAGACTTTTTCACTATCACAGTTTCTAACTTGTTTAAGTGAACCTAGGCGGGGTGCGTCCTTTTGAGCAGATTTATAAAGAGACCTATTCGCACACTCTGCTGGTTCCCACACCCCACTTAATCTGCTGGTTGAGTGTTGAGCCAAGGCTACAGTTTAGTTCGCAAACTTCATGTTTTACCAAAGTCTCCCTCTTTCTTCAAAAGATCTGTCTTTTATTTGCGTGATTCAGTGATTTAACGCGATCGCTACCACCATATTTGTGCTACTCGAAGCGTTATACTCTACCATCTGCCTCCGGCATTTGATAGCATGTATACGCCAGCCTCACTGGGCAAGCTCGCAAAGTCTGAATTATCAAGCAGCACGGAAAGCTATATTTACACTGTAGATTTCCTTATCACTGTGCTGAACGTGCACCGGGTACATTTCACGATCACGCCTTCAATTCCTTAACCACGTTTATGATCTAAGTTGTTTACTAATAGCCAACTATCGATGGTCTTCGCCGCATCTCTCGTTCTTCTTTCCCAAGTGCCAAGTCTATAACTTTCCTATGCCCTAGTATCTTGTGTGCCACTCCCAAATGCGATCGTAACACTTTATTTGAATAGGCTCATTGCAGACATATTGTCTTAATTTCCGATTCTTCCTCTGTGGTCTCCTTGCGATTTATTTTCCTAAAATTGAAGATATTACCTTGATATAGTCATCTTCATTTTGCTGATCTTATTAGTCTTGCTGTTCACAGATCTCCTTCAATTTGCTTAGGCAGTATGCAACGTTTTCGCTAGTCCTGCCTTCTCCAATTCTCCTCTTCATTAGATTTCATTCATTCAGGACATCGATGGTTTCACGTATCTTGTGTTTTCTCGTATTTTCACAATATGCAGTCAACCATTCTGTCGATTTCCAGTCGATTTAGTGTTCCGTCATTGCATTGTGTTCCGCTATTTCAGATCTGTCCGTATCCATGTTTCTACAGAGTCTTTGGTGTTCCCTGATTCGTAGGCCGTTTTTTCTTCGTGTTTCACCAATATACTTCTGCTCACAGTTGCCGCATTTGATGCGATTAACTCCCAAACAATCCAGTTTGTCAGCCTACTCAGGTTACATCAGCAGGCTGGTGAAGTCATATTTTCCTTTGTTATTACCTTGATATTCCATTTCCCTAGTAACGGTCGCAATCTTTGGTCATCTTCCTAATTTCTGATAGGATTTTCATAAAATCCGAGTTGAAATCGACGCTTTATGATACCTACATTTGTTTCAATAAATTCTTTGGAGTACCTGTTACTAAGGCAAATCCGAGTCATTTTCTCCAAGGCATCGCCCAAGAACTTAGTGTCCGTTAGTCTTAAGCTGCCAAAGATCATACTTATCATTATTACGATCTTCAGTTTATAGTTATGGTTAGACTGAAAATTAGGGATTATTCTCACATATGAATTTTTATGAATATTCTCCTTATGAGTGTCCCGTTGGAGCGCATGACATAAAGATCTAGGAGGGGTAGTATTTCTTCCTCCTCCACCTTTTTTGTAATTTTAATTCGCTCATCAAGAAGGTCAATAAAATTGAGAAACTCAATCAAATTATCAGAGGGACTTTCAGTCCGCATGAAAGCGAATGAAGAAAAGATTCGTTGACCGTTCTCACCAGATGAGGACGGATAAATCGCGTTGAACTGCAGCTGTTTGGCCTTTATACGATATTCATGTTGACGCAGTCTACGAGACTTCCTCCCTCGTTTCGGATTAAAACGTGCTAAGCTTTCGTCCATCATATGATAGACATCATCAGAACTGGGGGTCATTCTTGTAAAAGTCTCACGTTAAGAATAGAGCAAGAACACTATCCGGCTCTATCTTATTGTTATATAGACTCAATTAAGCCAAATGAAAATTAAAAACCTACATAGATCGAAATAGAGTGATTTGGTTTATTTTCTTTCATAATGGTCCAGTTATTTTTTCTCGGTTGTATGAACATATTTATTTGTGTGTGTTAGCGTCTATATGCAATACGGTTCATAAATCAGAGTTATCAAAGTTTAAATCTCAGGTCCTGATCCTCAAGATCTAATGACCAAAGAAAAAGCCTTGACTGAGACTGCGTCGGTCCATAAACAAGTATGGTTGAGAAAATAAGATATGAGCTTGTAAGTATGAAAATCAAGTTACAAAACCATATATCCTAACCTTTTAGTATAGGGTCATTAACGTTTAATCCTCTAAGGAAATGTAAGATTAAGGTTGCGTAATCATACATGACTGGTTGGGTTGATGAGCTTACTCTAAGGTTTTTGGAAGAATCTGGGTGAAATTATAACCATCACTGAGCAGAAAAATTGAGTCGCCTTCTTTTTGACGGCGATTCAAAACCTTCTCTCTCTCTTTTAATCTATTAATCAAGCATAAGTAGTTCCTACTAAACTTTCTACCACCATTCCTCACATTTAACGTATTTCCTAAGCTAATGATTTCAATAGCCTCTGTTATCTTTCTTTTAACCACAGACATACCAAAATCCATAAGCCTACTAGTTTGAAAACATTTTATTTTATGCCCAGTTTCTACCATGTGTTTGGACACTTTTGATCGTTGGTTCTAGCTACCTTTGCAATCATTTTTCTATTCTACCAGTCTTTGTAGAATAGGTCTGCATGTCGCATCAACATAACAACGACCAAATGAGCAAACAATCTTGTAGCAGCCAGATCTCGATTATGGGTCATATTTCTCTCTAAATGATGGTATAACAGAAGAAAGTGTAAGGGTTACTTTGAACACAGTTTTAATTCTCCACTACCTCACTAATTCGCCTATCATTTTTAAGAGAAGGCATGACGGCAAAATTGGGAGATGTGAAAATGCCTCAATCTGTGTCTCTTTGAGTTAATGGTTTCCTCAGTAGAGATCTTTTTCTCAATAAGGCCTAAAGGATAATAATTTTACAGGAATATATCTGTCAACCGTTGCAATTTTTAGTAAAATGTTTGCTATCCGCTAGCCTCATACTTCTAAGAAGCATTGACTTAAAGATTTCAACCTTAGTCTTGTAACTATGGTTGGAAAGAAAATTAACCAGAGAGCCAACATATGTTGGCTTCCTATAAACATCTCTTCCTAACTTACCCTTTTCTCTAATGATGAGAACA